GCCCAGCCATTATCCTCACCTTGGTTTCCAATGACGAGCACTACATTCTTTGGTTGGATGTTCCATGGACCAGAGTACCTCTCAACTGCTCGAGACGTGTAACGGTGACAAAACTGCCCGAGGTCGATGATTGACGATACGAAAGGCATGTTTCGCGACACCCGTATAATTTCCTCGAATGTTCTCTCCGTAGTTACGATGTTGAGTGCCGTCTCCACTGTATCCGAACATCTACAAGATCAAAACGACAATCACGATTGTAGGTTGAGCACACTTGTAGAAGGAGGCAGAGAGATACCATACGTACGCAGCGGCAAGCCCACTATAGTCGCTCCACGAGTACCCGACATCCGGGATACTGACCGTGTTTTGACGCCTTTCGAGCTCTCTTTTCAATCCGGGAGGCGAACTTGAGGAACCGTTCAAAGTCAGCAGATAACCAACAGCATCCCAATTCTTTGGTGAGTAGAAAGCTGGAAGGATTAAGGAGTTGACAGCCATATTATAGCTTAGCGATCCGTCCTCGGCGGTCCAGTCCCGATATCTACTGTTCAGGAATTGATTGACGGCGGTTTTTATGCCTTCTGCAGACGGATTTTGTGCTGAAATTGGGCATTTGACGGGTCCAACTTGAGCACAAGTGCTATAGAAACCTTCAAGGACTTGATTCGCATCAGCGAGTTGCTCATCTAGGCCAAGGATAGGGAGATATTGAGAATTGGCTTGAGGATTGACGACACCTGATGGCATGTTTAAGATGTATTAACTGCTTCCAAGCCTGGGGTGCATACCATCAAGGATAACCTTCCCAACACGGTTGGGGAACATTTGCGTAAGCATATACCCCACGTAGGTATCATATCCACTTGCATAGAAGTTGATGTCCTTGTCACTTCCATATACTGTATCGGCTATAGTGACGATGTCTCGTACACTTGCTGTGGTCCCAATACTACAAATCCCGGTTAACGATAGCCTGAAAAACGAAACTATTCAGATACATACAATGTAAGATTGGCACCGTTTTTGCTTCTATACGTTTCGTCAAATTTCTGCAGGGCTTCGTCGATAATCGAGGCTTGGCTCCGGCTATCAACAAGGTGAATATCAAGTTACAGATTAGGTCATTGTATAAACTTACAAAAAAGTGGCATCAGCGTCCGTAGTCAAGTTTCCGTGACTTTCAAATTGCCCAGGATGAATAGTCTTGCCCCATATATCGTCTCTCTCAGCTGTCGTCAATTGTTGTATTATCGGCCCCGAAATTCCAAGACCACCTATTGGAATTCACGATAAATAATTAGCTTCGCCAAGTCCATGAAAAAGAAGTTTCATAAGCGCACGAAGACCCCAAGATATCAGATCCCAGTCTGCACCAAATTCTTCGGCAAGTGAACCACCGTTCACAGCAACACTCGACAACCCAACCAGGAAAAGTGCGCCTCTACTAGGCTGCTGTGATGCGGGTCTACGGGCCAATTGAAGATTGATTGTCCCTTTCGTCGCGTCGCTATAATCCAGCGGAACGCTAAAAGAAAGACAACTTGTCATTGAAAGAATATGGAATAGAAAGAAAATACTAACGAGATTCTACCACATTCCAATGGAGCCACATCAAGATGCATTGAGGTTATTTGGGGGACGTCACGACATTGCTCGAGAGACCAGGTAACTGGATCCCTTTTTACGATACTTGCTGACGTTTTTATCACAGCAAAAAGCAGAAACAGACAGGAGGCTAGATGTTTGCGCATGGTTGGGAACAAGGAGCTTCAAGCAAGAGACGCCAAGCGAGCGGACCTCTTACGCTGTCAATGTCACGGGCTTAAGCTCGACTTGATCCGGGTTCCTCGTTTTCGCTTCCACTGGTATTTATGCATCTGTCAGGGGCGGCTTCTAGTTGTATGGCGGAAGGCGAGTCTCCGGTTGACATGGCCAGGTCCAAAATTGGATTCAACTACCACCGAGCGTCCGTCGCGGCATTATGACTGCAATGGCCGGGATAGGCTACTCCGAAAAACGGCCTTAAAACAAGGAATACACGTCAATTGCCGTCTGTGGGCGATCTCACTTGATGATACATGCTGGGTTGTCGTTGCAAGCTATCACGATAGGTAGAATATACATGTCTTACGGAGAAGGAGGACTACAAATCGAGAGCAAAACCAACAGCTAAAGAAAAAATCCTTTTTAGTCGGGCTGTGCGTGCAAATGCATACATAAACAGAAAGTGCCGCGGAGGAAGACGGCATGCCCTTCAAATTCTCAGCGAATTTCAACTAGATCTCTACGTCGCAAACGCCTCGCTCAACTGTGAGGCTATTATGGATATCAACGTCTTGAGATTCTAACGAACGCTTCTAGCTGTACCTGAGCTATTAGTGCGAGAGAAAGAACGTCAAATGGTTCACGAACCCAATTATCCAAAGACATCGGCTCAGAATTGTTCCTGTACATCCTGGATAGGTACATAGAAATGATCTATGATGGGGATGTTTTCTGTTTCAGCCAGTTGTCGGAAGAGTTTCAGCCCAATCGTCAAGTGCTGTATAAAGGCACGTCATTTCATTCGTCTTCGAGTATTGTCTACTATCTCTTACCATGTTCCATGGTTCTGCAGAGATGATCCGAGTAATATTCCACCTTTTAATCAAGCTTCGATAGATGCTAGCCAGATCAGAGTCATCAAAGAAATCGGAGTCAAAGACGCCATGATTCAGGAGTTCCATTGAGGATAACCTGTACGGATTTCGTTGCTTTCCAAGCAACTCGACCCCCGAAGATATATGAAAATCGTTGATTCCTAGTGTAGTGAGACCCGGACAAATTTCCCAGAGGTTTGATGGAAGATCCCCTGGAGTGGGATATGATCCACTAACTCCAATATACCCTATATCAAGCCCAGTAAGATGCCCTACATGCCGTGAAAGAAATACATTGATATACGCTTTATGCTTCGGGTGGACCGTACCATGGACAGAAAGTGTATTGAGAGATGGAAATGTCCAATTCATAATGTCTCGAGGTGGCCCCATGCTGCGACCATAAACGAGATGTAAGCACAGATAGCGCAGATTTGAGTGTGAGAACTCCTCCAAAAGGATATTTGAGTCTTCGAGTTGGAGATTGA